AATGTCTTTTAAACGTTTTTAAACGTCTTTTAAACGTTCTTTACGTAAGAATGTGTATAATATGTAGCTACTCTATCACACAACATGTTTTTCATAAATTTAATTTTTCAAGATTGCTCAACTTTATTTGTCTACTTTTTCATGGCGAATTCTTCATTGTCAAATTCAGTTCTGATTTAAATTTAATTATCTTCTCGTCTTTTATAACCTTTTAATTTCATCAAAGAAATCAATTCCTTTTCACAGTAATCTTTGATTACACTGCCAATATTGTTTCTGTTTACTAGAGTTGGAATATTAGCTTTCTGATAGTTTAAGAGCACATTGTCTATAGTTTTAAATAATGCTTGATCCCTATGCAAACCTCTCAGGTTTGATAAAATGCATAACAAGTCCTGTTTATGTGTTGACATTTTAAAACCCTTTATTTTTATATCATCATCTCCAGGAATGGTGCCAAGTAACAATTTCATATACTTGTTATGTACTTTTTTATCCATGATAAAATACAACAAAATACAACAACAATATATACGTATAACAATATATACAACAATATATACTCGTTTATATATATATATATATATATATATATATATATATATATATATATATATATATATATATATATATATTTCCTAAAAAAGATCAATAATAATAATAGTAATAATAACAGTATTTATACTTATTATATTATACAAAATTGAATATAATTTTTTTCCTTTTTATAAATAAAGTATTTTTACTTTCAATAAAAAGTTTTTACAGAAAATCTAAACATAATCTATACAAAATTATAATACATAAATTTTATAAGAAAAAAATTAACATAATCTAAATAACGCATAAACAAATAAACTTTAAAGAAGACCAGATGAAACAAAAAACAAGTTTAAACAAAATTAATATTTGTAATAAAAATTAAATAGTTTCATCCGCAATTCCAATATATTTGATAAAAAACGATTAAAAAAACCCGAAAACTTTGAAATCTCGAAGCTACCACAAAAATTGCACAATCTTCATGAAACTTCACAGGGATACTTTTTAGAACAATATGCAATAGTAATTTGCTTTCATGCAAAACATGGTAACTGACATAAAAATATCTTATATAGGAATTACCAAAGTACATGCAAAAGTTGTTGAGAAAGGCAGAAAAGAACCTATGATGAAGCTTTTCCCAAAAGAAACTGTTGAGTTTGAGTTAACAAACAGTTTTTGTGATGAATCGGTTAGGGGGAGTGCTGAGTTCAGCTCAATATGCTCTGAAATTGAAAGGCGACACAAAATAAAAATTAAATCTGGTGAACACATATTTGATCCACATGATATTCTCAAGAAACTAAATGTTATTGCTAGGAGTGTAAGGAATAACATAAGTAACACTAAAATGAACTCATTCATTCATTTAATATTTGTCTGCGGAGGAGATGTTTCTATGATAAATCTAAGTTCCAGCTAATCTAAAACATGGTAACGTTGTTTTTGTTAAAATGCAACAAAAACAACATAAGCAAGGTCTTTGACGCAACATCCTCAAATAAAGGTTAGGCTTTAACAAAGCAATTATTTATTAAATTTTTTGATATATTAATAGCTTATTAAATTTCAATTCAACAAATCATTTTTGCACAAACGCTAGGATTACAAATACTGATGAGGTTTTAAATAATTGGCTAAGGTGATTAGGTACAGTTTTATAAAAGAATTAATTCATTCACTCTTTACAACACAGGACAGTATATTGCAGCATGTTTCTGTCTGCAGAGAGAACTAGACCGTCCCTTGTTGTGATATGCATGCCACAGGCATGTAGGAGAATTCATGCTATACAACTGTTGGGATCCATTAAATATAAATATTTAACTTTTTACATGGTATAAATATATAGGCCAAATATTTAACTTTTTACAAGGTAGTCTAATGCTTTTACAATATCTTTGAACAAAAAGATTTTTTTAATTGATTAAATAGACTCAAGAGGCTTTAGCTAACAAAATGATTTTAAATTGTTGCAGGTTCAAGAACCACGACTTGCAACTTCCACCAGTTAATAAAGCAAACTTTTACTATCCAGAGTAACTGAGAAGGAACAAGAAAGCTTAAAAAATTGCTTCCGTGAATTCCTAGCGTTAGGTTTCACTCGAGAAGATTACCAAGAACTTATTGAACTCAGCTTGCAATTAGTTACAAAAGAATCAGAATTTCAGAAGTTTAGCATGAAGTACCCTGGAGCTTTGCACTTAACAAGATAGATGGAAAAACTTGAATACACTATGAAAATAGTTCTATTGTCCGAAAAGATTATTGAGCAGTATCCCAATTCAGAAGTTGCAACCAAAAATCAAATCAAGAAATTAAAACGTTTCTGTATGTTTGCTGTAAGTTTTTACGTGCAACGGTGGATTAAATATCCCCTTGCAGCTAATGCCCTAGTCAACTATTTGATTTTTGTCAAGAAACTGAAACAGTTTGCATAACATGATTCTATAATTGCTGAAAAGGGAATAAAAGCTTTTAGCAACATAATTGGTATATGAATGAAGAGCTTGTTCCATTGGCTCTTTTCTCACAAATGGTATCTGACGAAGACAAATTGAATATTTTGCTGCGTCTCCTCCTATTTGAAAGTGCTGAAAGTACTACTTATCGTGTAGGAACATCCTTCGGAAAGCCAAAACTTAAGCTAATTTCAGAGGAGATGAAGTCACAGACAGATTTGATTGGCCTTTGATCAATGAGGTTTTTTCATATTGTGAATGCTCTCTATGAGTTTCTTCAAACACCAGCTAATAAATAAACAAAACTGGATGACTTTTTTGAAATAAAGACACTCGTTCGTGGAGTAAAATAAGCAAAAATTTAGGTGTTTATAGTTCCAAAGATTTAAAATGGAAAAGATAAGTAAAAATGCTGCTATAATAGTTAATAGTATGCTTGCAATATTAAATAATACTTTTAAGTGCAAGGATGAATATCTCGTAGAGTTGCTTTCTTGCATGTAGGTTAAACCGCATTTGGAGTTTGCAATTCAAACTTGGTATCCTTATTTCTTAAAAGACATGAAAGAACTCAAAAAAGTTAAAAGAAGTCGGATTTTCTTTTAAAAAGTTGAAAGAGCCAGAAATAAGACATCTCCGATATAATCAAAGGTTAAAAATTTTAGACTTGACATCTTTTAAAGTTCGGAGACTAAGAAGTGATCTTATTCAACAGTATAAACAAATGCATCGAATCTATTGATATGAAGTAAGTTCAAACACAAATGCATTTGAATAATAATTTAGGCCCAGCCTCCAGTAATAGAGGTTACTCGGTGTAGTTTAGGCGATTTACAAATTATTCGAATTCTTTTATTTCGAATTAGCATGGTTTTATCGGCACATTATGTCCAAACAAGAGCTTTAGATGGTATAATTTTTTTTGGATTCAAGTTTTTTTAATATTTAAAAAAAAAAAATTTATATTTTCTTTTTTTATATAATTTTCAAAGACTTTTTACTTCCCCTAATAGTGAATCTAAAGAACACCATTTTGGAGTCTTTAGATCAATTCCGCTCATCGGCGTTAACATGAATTTAATTAAAATCTTTTGAAAACGTTCCTTAATTTTCTATTGATTCTAGTTCTAATCGGTTCTAACGTATATTAACTATTTATAGTTGTCAAAACAGAATATTTCTATCAATTTTCACAAAAAATACTAGAATTCCGACCAAGAAAGAGTTTATAATTAAGAAAAATTGTCAATAAACGATCAGAACAGATCATATTATTAAACTATGATCAAAAAACGTATTTATTTAAAATCTTATTCAAATTTGGACTAGCGATTATGATTTTAAGATGATTTTTAAAAAAAAAAAATCCTCAGTCTGGTTTTTTTTTCTCTAAACATTTATATTTTATGATACCGCAAAAATTATCATTTTAATTTTTTTCGTCGTTTCATAATTGACAGACCTTATTATTTAAAGGAAATATGTCGTAGTCAACAAAATATCATACAGACGCTAAATATTTTAAAATTGTCGTAGCTACACCGATTACAAACATTGTGTCACTTTTTACGTCACTTTTGTCTCAACTCACCCACCCACCCACATCACTTTTTGTCACATTTTCTAGGAACCCACGCATTTCATAATTACATCACGTTTGATAGGAATCAAGCGTTATGATGATGTAAAACAAAAAATTGCGCTGATTAGTTTCTGACAATAAAAATACCCTGAAAAGTAGGCATCACCTGCCTAAATATGAGCGAAATTGTTTTTTTCTGTATCTATCCCAGAAATCAAGCACTTATTTTAGACTTATAATACGGAAAGTTTAACCTCTTAGCGTACTATAATTAATTAATGAATGCTTAAACTTTACACTCAACTAGTAATAAAAAAAAACCAGATATTGGTTTATATTTTTTAATAATATTTTTCTTCGTAAATCTGTTGCTATGAAGTGACTTAACTTGCCATATATATTTTATTATAGAAGCTGTTTAATAATCAAAGATAAGCGAGATGAAACATTGCGATTTATTTTGTAAATAATTCATGAGATCTGAATCGTGGAAACTATGTAAACGACTTGCAGCGACATATTTATATATAGACTAGCACTACATTGTTTTTTTTTTTTGGTGTGAAAAATGTGAAAAAGCATTTTGTTTTTCAGTTCTTTAAATATAAGCAAATTAGAAAAAAAATTATGAGATATTTAATTATATTTACAGTTTTTAATTGTATTGAATTTTATATAATAAATTTAAAAAATTACATCACGATGGTTGCAAGCAGTATTTTTAAATGTATACTATGTATTGGTGTTTTAAATTTTATTCAAGTACTTAAATTACACTACACTCTAATAATAATACAAACATTTAATATACAGTTTTTGAAGATATGGTTAAGTTTTTATATATTTTTCTGATGTTTCACAGGAGACAAGCTTTCATGATGTTAATTGTGTTTTTGTTGTGGCAAAATCTATAAAATGTAAATTTGCCTTTTTATATTTTGAAAAAAAAAGAAAAAAAGAAAGAATTATTCAATGACGATTACGGGAATGAACCGTTACAAAACTATGAAAAAATTAGGTGATGGTACATATGGTTCTGTTATGCTCGGAAAGACCTATGATACTGGTGAAACTGTTGCTATTAAAAAGTAATCTTTAATTTACCTGAAGTTTTGAAAAATCTTTTTTTTCAGCTCTTTCGACTTCTAATTATTTACAATCTATAAATAGTGAAAAGTATATATTTATGAGTATACCATCGTTTTATCATTTTTACTTTAAAAACTTGTGCCCCCATACTTTTCAATTATACATAGTACATCCATAATTTGTTATAAATAGTACATCCATACATAAGTCTTCATGTTTATTTCATTACATAGAATGAAAAGAAAATACTACTCTTGGGAAGAATGTATGAATCTTAGAGAAGTCAAGGTATGAAACTATTTTAAAAAAACTATTTTTACATAGGGTTTTCTGTTATTATTATTATTATTATTATTATTATTATTATTATTATTATTATTATTATTATTATTATCATTATTATTATTATTACTACTACTACTATGTAGATATTGAACATTTAAAAACAATTTATTCTGATAATTTGAAAAGTTAATTATTAGAGTTTTTTATAATGCAGAGTTTCTTAAGTTTCATCTAAAAATAAATTAATTTAAACATTTAAATTTAATTTTTTGTGTCATTTTACTTAAATTTCACTTGTGTCATTTGTATCATTTCGCTTGTTTCATTTTAATTGGAAATATTATCTTGTGAATACAAATAGTTTTGTAAAAATTAAAGAAATGCAAATGAAAAAATTTAAGAACTAAAGTAATTTAGTTTTACTAATTGTAAATAATAAAATGATATAATTTAGTTTCAGCAGTTATATAGAATATTATAACATTCTATGTATAAAACTACTAAATAATCTGTATAATATATAGTATAATCTGTATAATATAAATAAATATATAGTAAATATATAGCTTTATGTAAATATATATATATATATATATATAACATTTATTAGTAATAAGAAACCTAAATTTTTGAATATTTGTAATGAAAATTTTTGGTTTTATTAAATCATTTAAAAAAATAATTAGTTTCTAACAAAAATACCCATTTAAAAGCTCAATTGTTATTTAACAAAAATCGTTGTAATTTTTTTACTTGTAATTTAATAAAAATCTTTTATTCTATTTCTAGTAAATTTAGTTGTCAGTATTGTAGTTGCTGCTTTGTTTTGTAATAGATTGTTGTGTTTATTGTTATAGAATCAAACCAAAAAAATTTAATTTTCTAAACATCTGGATCATTATTTGATCTGGATCAGTTTGATTTTTATACCCTCTTCATGGAAAATAGTATTTGTTAAAAAAAAAAATCTGTACTGAGGTTAATAAATAAAGAAAATTGATTGTCTTGATGAATAAATTTGAATTTTGCTAAAATAATGATATACTTATAGAAAAACAATTAAAGAATCATTGTTTTAGAGATACAATATAACTGATTTTTATTTTGTACTTTTTTCTTGGATTATTCTTTCAACTAACTTTTTCTTTTTAACATTAACTAGTATCTTTTTCTTCAATCTTGCTACAAGAATCCCATTCTGTTTTTGATCTTCATAATTGCTTGCAGAAACATAATCTTGTATAAAGGAATAATTTTTACAAACTGAACAAACATCCTATAGTTCCATGTATTTCCAAAAGCTAGAATTTCCTTTAACCCATCCATTAAAATAAATAGGGTTGATATCCAAATCAAGAAGATATTTAGACGCAGTTTACTCTTTTTTGGGTAAACTTGACCTGAATATCTCTAGCTCAGCATTGATGATCAAGTTCTTTATTATTTCTACTTTGGTGGTATCAGGCAAATTTCTCTCTGCTAATGTAAGAACAACTAGTTGTTCATCCAAATACCAAATGTGACAATTAAAACTATTTATTAGAACATTTTTAAGACCTCTATGCTACTTTGATTAAAAGCATTAGGACCTTTTAATGCTTCCAAGTTATTTTACTCTTTAGGAACCATAAGACCTAAAAAGCACTTATGTTATTAAACTTTTTCTTTTTCACTTCTACTTTTAGTATCATGTGTGAAAACTTGGTCATTTGAATTGTCAAAATATATAATGTTGGTTATATAAACTTGGTCATTTGAATTGTCAAAATATATAAATCAGCCACAAATCTTACCTTATTCATTGTACCATACTGCAGGAATCTAAAGCTTTTAATAACTCTGCCAAGAAAGAATATACTTGACTAACTTGCTATAATCACTTCTAGGAAAAGTTTCATTATAAAGGGCATAAGTCTTCTGAATACGGAGCTTTTGGAATGGAAACACTTGAAGCCAGCCATTCATTTGTGACAAAGTTTTTCTGCTCAAAAAACTTCTAAAGTTAAGTGTCAATGTCAAACATTAATCTTTTGCCTTTCAACTTATCTATGATTTCATTTCTAACTAAATCCCCATGCCTAAATGCTTATGTATTGGTTTCTATGAAGAGTTAAAAATAATAGTTAATTTGTTGAAATGACCTTTATAATATATCTTATAGTACTCATCTAAATCATATTCTTACATACAAAAAAAATTTTGAAACTTTTTTTTAAGTAGCACTTGTCCTCTCCTATAATGATCAATCTTTCTCTCTATTCTCTGATCTTCCAGGAAGAAAGTTAACGAGTGTCAAATTGGAGCATGGTTTTTTGACAATTACCAGCATTGTCACGAAATATAATCATCTCTTCAGGATTACACTATGAATGCTTTTTGTTTTTTACTGACATATTTTACTAAGGAAAATAAAAAATAAAAAAAAGTTTATTCATTTTTGTTTTGAAACCGTAATAAATAAGTCTATATTAAATATTTTTGGCTTTTATTAAATATTAAGTCAAACACAATTCAAGATTAAAAGTTTTAGTACGGCTTACTCTCGGATAATACTCTATGAAAAAAAGTAGTCGTTGAGATACTTCGGCCTTTTAATAGTACTTCCTGTTCTTGAGGATATATTAAGTTGTGTTTCAGGAGTAGTAACCTTTTGAATAGATGATTGGTTAGGTACTGTTGTAGTTGATTGATCATTAGCTATCCTTTTTTGGATTCCCAAATGGATGCATTAGGTTCGAAACTACTTCGTTGGTATCATTTAATTCAACTTATTTTCTATTTCCAGAATTGTGGCTGTTGTTACTATGACAATTTTAAACATAATTCAAGATCTACAAAACGGATTTTATAACACATCAATTAAATATGATTAAGTTCATTTAACCATATTATTATAATGGCGTGATTGACATCAATTATTTAGTTCAAATACATAGTTCTTAAGAATATAACAATTTTAAAATTATATATATATATATATATATATATATATATATATATATATATATATATATATATACATTTGTATAGTTTTTTACTTACGGGAACAGATTTTATAAAAAATAAACACTTACAGGGACATTAGCATTGTCGGGGTCATTTTAATGTTCCCATTAATTTTTTGTCCCCGTAAGCATAATTTTTTTTGTAAAAAAATGTACCCATAAGAAGCTTTTATAGAGAACTAAAATAACATACATCGACTATCAAATAGCCTGACTCGCAAGGGTGTGCTGCTACATCGATTAATGGTTTGATTAGGCCAGGCATCAAGGTCAGGCTTAGGGTTAGGGTTATGGCAAGGTTTAAATTTGGTTATATTATTGTAATTAATCGTTTTTGTAAATAGATGAAGTTAAAAATGAAATATAATATAAAGTAAATGAATAAAAATAACAAAAATTTATATAAAAAATGTATTTTTATAATAAAATAATAAATTTAACTATGTATAAATAAAAATAGAAATAAAATAAAAGTTAAAAAATATATATAAATATGATAAAAATAGTATAACAAACTAAATAAAGAAATAGAACGGGAACAAAAAAAACATGTCCCTTAAAGTCGCAATTAGGATGCTATATATATATATATATATATATATATTATATATATATATATATATATATATATATATATATATATATATATATATATATATATATATATATATATATATATATATATATATATATATATATATATGTATATATATATATTTATATATATATATATATATTTATATATATATATATATGCAGGCCTTGTGATGAATACAACCTGCGCGACGCATTAGCACGGCATGATTTTTGACATCATTAAATTCTTTTTATATGCTTTTCATATTTATCGACATTAATTGCACCAATTTACTTAATTACCGCAAAACTACTTTAAATCATTAATGTAGAAATGTTAATTTTTAAAAATGTTTTGGAATGTTTCGTTTTTTAAATTGTAAAAAATTTGTTTATTTTCTCGACGTTTGACGCGTTTTGTCTATACTAAACGAATAAAAAACATAACTAAACATTTAAAAAAGATTATAAAATATGCTAATATTTGATTTTTTTTTTTTCTCAAATATGTAATTTAAAGTTTTTCAAATAATTATTTTTTCTTTTTAAAAAGTCAGCGAGTAATAAACTGGAAATTTTAATATTGTATGATTAAAAACTGCAATAGCTAATATTTTTACTAGCGATTTTATATAATATTTTTTTATTTATTTATTTTAATTTATTTTCATAAAGTGGTTGATGAGCACAATCACTCGTATTGCTAAAAAACTTTAACGAACGTTTTGAATAGATTTTTAATGTTTACAAGGAATTATATTTTTGGTAAAATAAAATAAAATGTTAGAATAAAAATCTTATAGGTATAAAAGACATATTTCAGCGAAAAAATTAATCTTGAAGATTATTATTAAAAATTATTCGAAAAACTATTGACGTTTTATTTTTCAGCAGCTGTTCTTGAGCATGCTTCGTTGAGTTTTGGTAACTTTTAACAAAAAAGCGATTGTTATTATTTAAATAATTTTTTTCGAGTTACTTTTTACAAAAATTTTAATAGCTGTACTTTTTTATTGAATCAAGTAGAATACGTTTTAATATTATTCCTTTTATTTTTTTTTATTTGCGCTTACCAATTTTTAAAATGTTTCCTCAAAATTACTCTTAAATACTTTAAATACGTCTAACAGTTAATAAATATTTTTAAATCTATGGAATAATTTTAAAACCTAACAAACCCCTGTAAAATAATTATTTAAGTTAAAAATCTAAAACTAAAAGAATGTATTTTTGTTCAATTTTATCGACAACTTTGCTATTGCTGAATAATTTTATTAAAATGTTAGCTTAAAAAGATTTAAACTTTTTTTTTAATCTGAATTTTTTCTACTTGTAAATAATGAGCATATTTAATTTTTTTGTAATTCAAACTTTTATATCAACTGCGTGCGGTTTTTAAAATACTTTATTAAATGTTAAAAT